CACCACAACACCTTCTTTAAGGGTTCTCTACAACAGTTTTTTTAGGGGCGAGGCTCCTTAAGCCGTGGGCTGTGCGTCCCCTGTATGTAGCTCCCTCTCGTTTAGTTCGTGTAGTGTTCACTAGATAGCGGTACTTGTAGCTGATGATGAAAAGATGCAAGATGTTATAAACTAGACCGCGGTACTTGTAGTTGATGATGAAAGATGCGAGATGTTATAAAATAGGAATGATGTCACATATGGTGCGTGTCATTGGTGGAAGGCAATCGTTCGATTTAGTGCGGCGACGTACGCTAGGGGGAGCGTTGTAATAAAATCGGGTGGGCAAAATGTACGGAGGATTCATGGTTTACCTCCGGAGCTTCGCCCACTCATCATTCATTCGTGGATATGGCGGCGCTTTTTTTATTTAAAGCAACAAGCCGAAAATACTCATAATACCTGTTAGCACTCTTTTAACTGGAGCACTGACACCTACAATACATATGGGGGCGGGAGAGAGGCAGAAAACAGCGAAATGATCGAGTAACAACGCAAGTCTATCTTATCACAACTCCAAAAGATGTTCCAGAGCTCCTCACCAGGCACCATTGCAAATTTAATCTGTAAGGGCAGTCCGGTGACAGTTTTATGGGAAATTTTTACGTCGGTTCTACTACTGTACAAGTGAGAACTTTGAACTGCGCGGTTACGTTTCCAGGCAGCGAGTTTCACTGCAAGAGCCCACACTGTCCCCGTCAGACCAACACCGACTAAATTTCAAGGCCGAAGGGCTGCCGCAGTGACGTCAGAGGTGGGGGCCCAGTTACGCCGCGAATGCGGCGGCAAGCCAGTGTTTCATTCGCGTTTTAGGACAACCAACGCTCCCGCAGTCACAGCTGCTGCAGCTAGATTGGGCCGAATAAAAGATGTGGGAAAAAATCTTACTGAGCATGCTCAGTAAGATAACTGTGCCCCCACCCTCTGACGTCACTACGGCAGCCCTTCGGCCTTGAAATTTAGTCGGTGTTGGTCAGATCCGTAGCCAAGGGGAGAGGCATTACGCCCCTCACCCCCTCCCCAAGTTTGGAGGGAGGGGTGTTTCGCAGAGGAAAATAATAAAAATAGATGTTTTTCCAGACTTTCTAAACGTGCCGCCCCCCCACCTCCCCCCCAAAAGACTCCCACTAAAGGAAACTGTGTAAATGCGAAGCAGCGGGCGCTAACACTTACACTGGCGGCGACGTTGACGCTGGCGCTCATCAAGCGAAAGCCAAATAAAGACGCCCTCGACTGAATTCCGAAAGCGCTATCTAGTACCTACAGATACGGAGTGGCCAGTCAACGGTTGTGCAGCGCGAGCAATCGGTTTTTGTAGCGTTAGCTACACTGGCCTCGTTGAGCCAATTTCGCGTGGCACTGGTCTGCGCATGCGCAACGATACGCCGCCTCCGCGCGGCTCGCCGCCGGTGTGCGCGCAATTCGATGCGCTGCGCAGACGATCAGTGGTGTCACGCACCGAAGCCGGCACCTCCCTCGCACTCGGCCGCGGCCGCGCGCGACTCGCCGCCGCCGGTGTGCGCTTTCCAGAGGAGTGCCGTCATAGCCTTGGTAGACATATGGACGCCGACGCGCGCGCCTTCCCTGTGCAGTCACCATCTGACACTGAGCTGGAGCAGCTTGATAGCGCCTCTGACTGGCGTTTGCCACTGTGGTATAGCCATGGAGAAGGAGAGTGCAAGTGCTGCTCAACGGTGCAGTAGAGCGGAGAAGCTTAACTCATCGGATCCCGAAGTAGTTGCCCGGCAAAATAAATATACATGTGCCACATAATACGTATACCGTGTGTGTGTCATTGGAACAGCTGTAAGCATGGTAATCAAACTAATTCTCGACAATCAGAAAAGCTTTCCAGAGGAGTGACGTCATGGCCTTGACAGGCATACTGGCGCCAGCGCGGGCGCTGCTATGCTATGCGCAGACGATCTTTGGTGTCACGAACCGGAGCCGGCACCTCCCGCGACTCGCCGCCGCCGCCGGTATGCGCTTTCCAGAGGAGTGACGTCGTAGTCTGGGCAGCCGTAATGGCGCAGCTAAGAATAATCAGCTGAACCTTTGCTAACGCTACGTATATACTGGCATAGCTGAGCTAAGCCACTGCCATTTTTTTTCCTAGCAGACGCTGCCTGCGTCAGGGCCTTGCGATTGGAGAGGGGGGGGGGGGGAATCGGCAGTTTTGCGGGTGTCTTTTTGGGTAGCACGAGCAACAAGCATGCGCAGTGTGGGTGCACGGAGGGACAGCGTTACACAAGTTAGTCAAAGAACTGCTTCGCATCTAAAAAATCCCTGGCTACGGGTCTGGTCCCCATGTCGGTAAGGCTAACATCTACAAGAGGCTGGTCTCAAGTGCTGACGCGACAAGTTCCGCCTCCTCATTTAGAACGAAAGCTCCACCAGGACTCTACTACGCAGTCTCCCTAGGTCATTCACCGCATCGTGATGACCTTGAGCTGCCGGAGCCCCAGTGTGACAGTCATGACGTCACACCACACGACACAATGCGGAGAATCATCGCACCTGCGCTCGCTCGGAACTTCGCCGCCGAGTTACTAGGTGATCAGGCTAAACTCGAACGTGCGGAGAACTTTTACGAAAACGAGGCCAACCGTACCTTTCGCTCGTGACTCAGTTTGGACCTCAGCCAATGTAGGCCCGCACGTCGCCGTCGAAGCTTCCAGCGCCGAGCAAAACAACAGGTGGGCGCTCCCGGCAGATGGCTCGCACTACGCCACGCGCACCGCACACTAACTCGCTCAATCGTTCCCGCCACCGAGCGGAGCAGACGCTCTCCTCACCTTACCACCTTCACGAAAGCCAGCAGCGAGATCAGGCGCATGGTCGTTTGCGGCCTATTTCTAAGAAACTCCGCTCACTGATTGCGTTCGTACACAGAACGGCTAGTTTCTGCCATGCTGGCCGACGCATTGTAGCAGCGGCTCGAAGAGTAACCGGTCCCATGTCACGGTTAAAGACCACAAAACAGACCAGAACTATACTATATAGAAGCTCAGGAAGCGGCTCGAGGTTTGGAAAAACGTTTATTCCGGCAACACGTAACAAAGGCATGGCTTAGCGACGTGGAGTATCTCAATCCACTACAGTGAACACTCGCTGCCACATCTTTCAGCCCTAATTAGACGACCAGTTCCTCATTAGCCCTATCAGTTGACCGACAGTGCCCAGAGCAATCCGAAGGAGCGGGTGGCGGAGTTTTCTTTTAATTATAGGGAACAGCACAGAGACGGTGCTGTTTTGCTTACAGTGGACCTTCAAGTCATATCACAGTAAGACAACTTGGACATAATAAAACTGATGGGGTTGTTCATTGTCCCAAAATCAAGACCTCCTTATCTGAGAGGCTGTAATGTAGGGCTCCAGAAATTTCGACCACCTGGGGTTCTTTGACGTGCACATAAGATCCCAATACACCCTGAACATTTATGCCTCAACCAAAAATGCAACCACCACGACAAAAAAAAAAAAAAACTGAGCCTTGTAATATCAAATTTTTATTCAGTAGAATCAGCCTTTACCACACAAGAGAGATTCATAGTCTGAAACCATGCAATTAACTCACCAAAATAACTCTCTACGGAAAAATATTTGATTTAGTGCACTGGCAGTGGCATGATGCTTATCTCTCAATCTAGCAGTTTTCATACAAACAACACTTGCCTTTACTATTGTCTTTTTTTTTTCATCTACAGAACTTTGTTTGTCTTACTGCTGCCAACCACAGGACAAAATTGTATCAGGCCAGTTGGTGTTGGAGAGACACTGCACTCATCCTATGTTTTCTAGTCTGTACTACCATCCTTTGTGCACCTGTTCTGCGTACAATGTGATCAATTACTTTCCACATTCTATCTCCTTTTTTTTTTCAACTTCTCTGATTTCCCTACTCACAGTGAGATCCACCCACTTCAAAAACCCTCAGTACCTACACAATTTGTAGCAGCCCTGCAGACATAGTCAACAGAGATACTTGCCTGCACATGAATGCTTTCGCAGACAACACAAATTTAAGTTGGCACTGTATCGTTGGGCATTGTGGAAATAAAAACTGAAGCTAACAAAAGCAGTTGCGTTTATTTCATTTTCTTTTTTCTCACATGAATTACAAAGATCAGGCAAGACGAAGTGGTGTCATGTGAACTCGTTCTTCTGCACTGGTGCACTCTGTACAACGAGGTGACACTTGTGAGTGAGACACGTACACGATTACCAGGGTGTTTGAAATGAGGCTTTATATACAAGGTGAGTGTCAGCTGTACAGCGAGCAGCCCTGAGAGCCTCGCACACAAGGAGATGCAGAGTTGACTGTGCCCAAACACTTGCAAAAACAAACAAAACAGAGAGAGAATGAGAAAGAAATTTAAAGAGAAAGAGAGAAACAAAATTTAGAGAAAGAACAACAATATGCGAGTGTAAAGGCACAGAATTTCATCGCTCAAAACTCTCGATACAGTGTTGCACTCCATGTGCCCGGACCGCGAAACTTTCATTGAATTTACAATTTGTTTTGCTTTGTTAAAAATAGTCCCCTGTACGCCATTTTCATTTAGTGGAATGAAACTCCTAAATATGTATCCTAAACATTTGTCTCCAGCCACTAGGGTCAGGAAAAAAGCGCAGAAGAAATGCACGAACACCTAAGGCAAAGGGTCGCCTTCAAGAGACAAAACAATTTTAAAAAGCAGTCCACATTTTTTTTTCTCTTTTTTTTCTTTTATAACGGTGACTTGGCCGGCAGAACAGAAAAAAAAAGAACGTTCGCCTCCTTCCAGCACTAGTCACACACACAACTGAAACAAACACGTGGTGTACACGGTTCTGTTCCTGCTTATTCACTATCACGACGAGCGCATGCGCACACAGACACACACACATCGAGCGAGTGAGAAGGACACGTTGGCCGGAACAGGCGCCTACACGAGGAAGTGCACAAGAAGAGGAGTCCACTACGCGGGCTTGGGCGGGTTGTTCCTCAGGCGCATGGTGTACGGCAGTGAGCCCTGTTGACGAGCCGCCTCAATGGCTGCCTGAACCGCCTGCACGGTGGCCGCACTCACGTCGACACTGACGGCCCGGGTGATGGTCTCCGACGAAGATGGCGCCGTCACGTTCGGGGGCACCACGGAATTGTCCGCCGCTGCGGCTGCTGTTGTGACGGCCACTGCGATGGCTTTGGGCAGGGCGCCGCCTTCCACGGGCTTGAGGGCAGCCGCATCGGCTACGATGCTTGCGACGAGGGGAGTGGCTGCGGAGCCTTCGACGGTGTAGGTTGAGGTTTGCGCCGTGCCTGCCGAGGCTGCGATCACCTGGCAACGAACGGTGGCAAGGGGTAGGAAACGAGGATGTTTGTAGTAGGAGGGGAGGACATGTCTCGAGGAAAGAGACAACAATCATAGGCGCCCGGAGTCTGGAGCGGACTGAGAGGACGGTGCTCCGCCTCTTTTGGCGGGTGTTGGTCGGATGTTGAGGGCTGTGCACATTGATGATGCATCGGGTTCAGTGAGATGAATACGGCAGGCAACCATGCGGAAGAGGGTAGACAGAAGGAAAGGGAAGGGGAAAAAAGAAAAAAAGAAAGCAGAACAAGCAATGCTAAAAATCATAACGAGGGAAATAATAGAAACTTAACCGCAGGCACAGCTACAACAAGGGCACACACATTCAGCTCTGGGAGTATTCTCCATAAAGACTACGACAAAACAGAGAAGAAATTCGATGTGGAATGTGCAAAACTTTGGCGAGAGGAAGATTCGTGGTAGCCACATGCACTGAACCCACTCAATAATAACTTTCAAACAAAATGAGAATAAACAAACGTAACAAAAGTAGACAGATAAAAAATTAAAGTTTGAACCAAGATTCAAGGTTTTTCATCCAAAAGGTGAGGCAAACATTCCAGCATCGCTGTACAAGCATTATGTAGATGTCACTTTACTTTCCCAGCACACAAAACTGAAAAATTTGAGTGCACACGTCAACTGTTGTTGCTTGAGGTTCACGCAACATACCACACACACGGTGCATAATGTCACAACACAACTGCATATGCCACAAAACAACTGAGTAGGCGCATAGACTGCCTTAGGGACGCAAGGTCGGTGCTTCCCCAATTTGCAAAAAAATGAATCGTAACACAGCGGGGGCCTCACAAGCGAAGCCTGCTCCAACAAATAAGAAGACAACGTGATTCGGGCCCAAGTACACTATTGGGCTTTGCTCTTTGAAGCGGCCCTGCAACACTTTTCAAGTAGCCATTCAATGGCTCCACTAAAGGAGTTTATTGCCTCACGAATCAACCATCGTAAAAATTGTTAGTCTATCGAGTACACGTGGAGCTACAAAGATTTGTCACATGCTGTAGACGCTTTCTCTCTTCTCTCGTCCCAACTAAAAATCTGGAAGCTAGGCAGGGAAGTATGGCACAGGCAAAGAAAGTACGTCACGTGCACCTCATGACACCGGCACTTTTTTTTTTTTCCCTTCAAACATGCGGCTTTTCATTTCAATTGCGCACACATGTGGTGAATTCCAACAGCGACCGCAGTAACTGCGGAGCATGCCGTTCTCATATAAGTCAATAGCACTTAACATGAGTCTATCACGCAACGGCTTTTTAGTATACTAAGGAGGAATGACTAGATTATCTCCTAGAATTAAACTTGAATCCAAAGTATGTGATGTTTGTACAGTTAAACCTGGATATAACGAAATTGATAAATCCTCGGAAAAATTTGTTATAAAGAGAATTTCGTTATATGCTGGTTCGGTACGAAAATTCAGAAAATAAACGTGCAAATTAAACAAACGGGGGACTGAAGGCAGAGCTAACCGAAAACACTTATTTTAGAGTAAAGAACTGCGCTATTATTGCAATAGCGATTATATGGGCACCCTCGGCGGGTTTTTGCTGTCGCCGCCATGTTCCGTAACAAGTCCAAATTGATAACACACCTCCGCGTATCGTAACTTTCACGAGTGAGTAAAAGCCCACGAGCGCTGCTGAATTAGAGACCAAATGAGTTGGCCCGTCCCTATCGACTGGAAAGTGCATAACATCTTCCGCGTGTTAGAACTGCCATCGAATTCTCAAACAGAAAGTAAACTACTTGTCTTAAACGAGCATGAAAAAACGCGGGCAGGGTGGGGGGGGATCACTCTAGTAGCAATAATGAACTTGCATTTTAAGCACGGTCCCGATTGCTGCGGCGCTTGCTATCTCGGTGAGTATCAGTATGGTTTCAACGCGAAGGGACTGTGTAAAAAGAGCGAAGTGATCTTTGTGCGCCCTGCAAACGCAATCACTCCGGTCAAAGTCGAAGGCGCGCGGTTCTCCGCACTGAAGGCGAAGGATAAGCGCGCGCGCACAAACATCTACACCCCCCCCCCCCCCCGCATTTGCGGGGCAAAGTACGCGTGGGAGATAAGCACGCGTCTGCGCATAGTGACGAGCTAGGCGCCGAACGAGGGCGGCTTTTGTTTTCTTGTGTTTTCCTATATATAGGTACATATACATATACCGTAAATTAGGGCAGCGGCGGCAGAAAAAAAGAAACAGCCGAGGCTGTCCATGTACATAATTGCTATCGCACTAAAGAAAAAGCAAAGCTGAACGTCATCGGGGGACACACCATGCGCGCCCAGTGAGACTAGAAATGCGAAAGACACAGAGACAGACACGTATATCGCGGAAAACTATTAGGTAAAGCGCCCTCCATATGGAGCGCAGCCCCACATAAGTGACGCTAACTAAAAGCGTGGCACTGCTAGCGCGCAAAAGGAATTTTTTTTTTAATAGGGGTGGGAGGGGGCTTACCCGCGCATGCGACCGCGGCGGCGAGAACGGGCGCAATGCCTGCTCGAGGGGTGCAGGCCCGCCTCACGCGAGCCGCGGCGGCGGGGCAGTTGTGAAAGATGCATGCTCGTAGCGAAATGCCAAAATGCGGAGCAAGATTCCTAGATCCTTCGTGCCGAAAATTCGTTATATCAAGGTTGTTTCCCACAGTTACTTTGTTATATAGAGGTCGCATATACATGTGCTTATATGGAGCGATGACGGAGAATAGAAAAACTTCATTATATTGAGGAATTCATTATAAGCAGGTTTAACTGTATAATTTGCTGAAATACTTTTGTCTTTTAAAGCGTTCAACATCTTTATATCGCACATGTAGGCCAGCAGTGTTCCTACATCATCACCTGCCTGACTACTACCACTGCTGGACCAAGGCCTCTCCCATTTTCCCCCAGTCAACTCGATCCTATGCTTTCTGCTGCCATTTTACACCCGCAAACTTTCTGATCTCGTTTGCCCGCCTAACTTTCTGTCTTCCCCTCACCCGCTTGCCTTCACTTGGAATCCAGGCTGTGATCCTTAATGACCAGCGGTTATCCTGCCTTCGCGCTATGTGCCCTAGCAATGACCATTTCTTCTTCATTTCGACTATGGTGTCCTTCACACCCATTTTTTCCCTGACACCCTCTGCTCTCTTCTTCTCCCTTAAGGTTACACATATCATTTTCCTCTCCATTGCTTGCTGCATCATCCTCAACTTAAGTAGTCAGCAGTGTTTGTAAGCCACTAAATATCGCATTTATGGCACTGCCCCCTTCCTGCAATACAGTACCAACCTGCAGGCCCTGCTTGAGGGCCACTGTGGCGGGCTGCCCGGGTGGCTGCTGCAGCGCCATGATGCGGGTGGGCACCAGGGTAGCTGCAGTGGCCCCCGAAGAGACCGCTGTCGGTGCAGCAAGGGCTACCGTGCTCACGGCCGGCTTGTGCAGCATGGCATGCAGCTGCACCTGAGTTGCCGGACTCACTGTGGTCGCGCCGCTGGAGCTACCTGCCGCTGCCTGCATCGCACTTGACATCTGTTGTCGTGACAGAAGGGTGCAATAACGGAGGATCAGACGACACTCGAACCTCAAACTAAGTTACAGAGGAATTGGCACAACACATTATGCCAGTCATAGTGTGCAAGCAAGTACGCAGGCTTTGAAAATGGAGCAGTTTCCGAATGGAAGCAGCAAGGTCACTAAATACAAACAACAATACAGCCGAGACTAAAGGTTCCCTAAACACCAACAGAGTTGAGCTTGGAGGTTTTCTAAAGCAAGTTTTGTGAAACCCAGGTGTTTCACGAAGTGTTTTAGTGTTATGCAAGAAATCAGAATGAGTGGGACTCAATCCCGTATTATCCCCCGTTAACACACGATTAGTGATTTCCAGAAGAAAGTTTTCATTGCACTTTGGATTGAACAAACTCGCCGCATGCAACACTCATAAATGGGAAGTTTGTGAGCAAGAAAAGACCCATGTGAAACCTGCAATGCACACTCATAATTTCCACGCTCATGCTTACACGTGTGTGAAAAATAATCACTGCACCTCGAGAAATATAACTGAGCATAAAAAAAAAGACCGTATGGACGAGAACTTTTTAAAGTGTTCTGGTTGGCTTTTGAAGAAGGCACTCGTTGGCGGTCATCATTCAATAATTTAACACTTCAAACTTTTTATCTTCCCCTCAACTTCCACGTAGCCTGAAATGACCCGATCGGTGTATACTACACTCACACTTGGATATGACAAAGGCAGATGTAATAAAATAGCGGTTATAGTGAAGCAAATGAAAAATAGTCTTGCACTAGATATAGTGTTAGGAATACAGTAGACTCTCAATAATTCAAACTTTCAGTTAATTCAAACAAAATTCAATTTTTTCGTTGGCTCTCTATTCTTTCAGTGTAATTAAAAGCCTCTTAATTCAAACTCCATAATTCGGCTAATTCATACCTTTTGCAGTTCCTTATCAGAAAATACAAGCTAATTTCCCACTACTGTTAAAAATTTGCAAGCTTATATAATCCTAACAGTCGAAAAATAAAAAATAAGCACCACGGGCCTTCAAGGAGAAAGGCTTTGCTAGTAAACAAATGTTTGAAACAAAGCACATGCATGGTAAACCGTGACGCTTCTCAACTGGTATATAGAGCTATGTGCCAAAGGCACATACCTATAGCATGGAAGCAGTTGGCAATTAACGATTTCTTTAAAAGGTCTGATCAGCAGTAAATGGCTACTGAACTTGCGGACCTTACACCTCTGCTTTTTCTTCATTGTGTGCAGTTCAGGTTTAAAAACACTTAAAAAATTTTTAAACATGATAAAATCAATGCCTAATCACAATGTGAGGTGTCACTTCACCCAGAGTCATCTATCTGAGAACTTCTGATAATTCGAAATTTCTTGATAATTCAAACGATACTCACATGTCTCTTCCGAGTTCGAATTATTGACAGTCGACTGTATACCTTTGAAACAAATTTTCGGATATACTGAACTTACTTTCATGTAAGACGCAACTTTGTTATAATGAGGTTTCAGTGTGCACCACTGGTTGACTGCAACATATGACAAAAGCTTTGAAGTTGGTAGTGACACAAAGCGCACTGTTAAAATGACGTTCAGTCAAGCAGTTAGAGAGAGAATAAAAATGAAACGCTCACCAGAAAGTTTTGGTTTACAGGCAGCACCTGCTTGATGATCTGCTGTACGGTAATGGCTGTGGCTGATGGCAGGGTTGTGGTTTTGGCCCCTTGTGCCGAACCCTGCTGGACTATCTGCACTGTGCCCAACTGAGTGGCCACAGTTGGAGCTTTGCCTGCCGGCATCTGAGCCTGGGCAGACAAGCCGGAGCAGACAAGCCGGGGCAACACGTGACATTCCACACTTAGCTTGTGCAACTCTAACATTATTATATACAAATAATGAAATTATGCAATGCTATGATTCTCATTTAGACTGAAAGGTATTAAAGCACATGAAAAATCACCCTTCCCATCAGTGGGATCTGAAGCCGCAACATTTAATCTACGCATCCAGTGCTCTATCATAAGCTTGACAGAGAGTAATCTCTCATACTTTTCTTTTTCCGGGCATTTATGTGAGCTTGGGAGGGCTAAGCCTGCAACACTCTTAGCTCATGAGACAATTGTGGAACACTCTTTTTTGCCAGAAGTCACCCCATGGCAGGTGATCTTCACATGAGGTGGCAGCCGACTGATAAACTCTTGCACGCAACTTAATTAAGGCATCAAGCCTGGCTTTTTGTTGAAATACACTCTGATCACGAAGTGGACACGGCACTTCAAAACATGTTGAGGACATGGCACTTGAAAAATTTTTATTCCTCAATTGATTTTCATGAAGCTTAATGAATTTATGAATATTTACATGTGGATTTCATATATGCAATTGTTTGTCTAGTAGAATGTGTAGAATACATGAAATATCAAGTGCCTCTCACAACATTTTTTGAAACTGAGAGAATTACAAAGTTTATCAGCATATGACAATATTATGGAATCAGAACTGTGTGCAGAAAAACAAAAAATAGATGTTATAAAACGAATTATATGAAAAGTTATGGTATGTTGAACATGAGTGAAATCCCACCTTGAAATTGACTCAGTCAAAAATGTCCAACATAGCATAAACATTGTTCAAATGAATTAGAACATCCATTTCTTGTTGCACTGCACACAGTTTCGATTCCAGAATGTCGTGAAATGATAATTTACTCTGTAACTTTTTCAGTATATAGAAAAATAGTTGCTTTCCAAAGGCACATGAAAAATTGCATATATTAAAAACCACACATTACACTAGAAAAATGAGTGCGCATTTGAAATTAGCATGAAGTATACACGAACTCCCAGTAAGTTTCATCAAAATAAATCAAGAAACAAACAAAATTTTTTCAAATGCCTAAGAATAATGGAACGCACGAGGTGAAAATCAAAAGCGTGAAAGAGATTGATTGATTGATATGTGGGGTTTAACGTCCCAAAACCACTATATGATTATGAGAGACGCCGTAGTGGAGGGCTCCGGAAATTTAGACCACCTGAGGTTCTTTAACGTGCACCCAAATCTGAGCACACGGGCCTACAACATTTCCGCCTCCATCGGAAATGCAGCCGCCGCAGCCGGGATTCGAACCCGCGCCCTGCGGGTCAAGCGTGAAAGAGAGGAGACAGCGCAGCAGCATACCTGGGAGAGGCTAGCCACCTTCTGCTGTGTTTGGAGTGTAACCTTCCGCTGTTGCTGCTGTTGTTGCAGCAGCTGCTGCTGAATCTGCAACTGCCGCATCTGCATCTGCTGCGGCGTCACAGAGGCCGTGGTGGTCGGCTTTGAGGCATTCACTTTACCCTGCTGCAAGGCAGGGAAGCGACCAACATTTACGCCAACACGACAAAACGAAGATGCACGAATATGGCGAAAATCATGCCAAGTAAAATGCTGCTGAAGCAAGTAAGATATGCTCTCACATATAAAAAGCCGCAATCTTTGTGTATAAAAGGTATGCCATGAATATCTTGGAAAATTAAGTACTGTATCTACTCACGTAACGAATTCCCCCACCTTGGTCTTTGAAAAAAAAAAAAAGCGTTTTTTTACGTAACTGCGCATTTTATTTCGGTGAGATAGTAAGTGCAATTGATAATCGAAACAACATTAATCTTGCCTTTATGTCACAAATAATGATACAATTAAAGTCAAACATGGTTTAATTAACCATGCAAACCAGTTACAAGCAGTGCGAGTGACTTCAATAAAAATTTAAAAGTCCCGCCTTTTGCAACAGAGCACCATCTGTTGAACGCCAAAGAAACCTTGAGCTTTCAGCACCACGCAAGCACAGCAGCACGAAAACAAAGGAAAAAATAAGACAAACCGCAACCGCGGCTACTGCACCGCCATCCGACACTGCGTTTTTGTTGTCGATCGGTCGGTACGTTAGAAAGACGGCTGGTTTCAAGCTTAGAGGGCCACTCACCAGGCCCCATACAAAATTTTAGTTAGACCATGGAAGTTGTTGGGTGTCCGATGAGAAACATTTTGCCACAAATTTTTTTCTAATCGGTCCATTATGAGCTGAGAAAAGTGTTTTTTTTTTTTTTTTTTTTTTTTTTTTGAAACGGCGCAGAACGAGGAAAAGAAGAGGCGAGCTTGATATCCTTGCCGCTCCTTCATGTAGTCTTCGCAAGCCAAATCTCTTCCCAACCCTCTCCTGCATCAGACCAAGAGGTCGTGTGCGCGTGACGTGCCCAAACAAGCCCGACCCCCGTGCAGCGTGTGGCAGTTTGGGCTAGTTGGTATGACAAGAAGAGTGTCCCTTTGTCGTCATTCTGTTCTTGCACTATAACTATAACCCCATGCAGCGAGCGGTGCTTTTCTTTTAACAGGGTTGTTTTGAGGTCTACTGCCTGTTTCTGCGGGATGGTTTGGAAACGCTGGCTTAGACACGGTAGATGAGCAGAATGAGTGCGCGAACGCGCAAGAGCGTTCCACGGCTGTCGTCTGCTCAATTCGCTGACCGCGGGGACACGAACGCAAGCGAAACGCCAGCACATTAGCCCCGCATCTCGTTGCAATTCACGGGAAAAAAAGTTTTTTTTTAAATGCTCACATTCCCTTATTGTGCCTCATTATTTATTTAGAGATTTATTAATTTCTTCAAGCAACAAATACATAAATTACGCATGTCGTGTTAAATAATTTTCGCCATGTCACATGCCACTGTTGGCAACATCAGGGCAGAGTCGTCTATGTAAAGGACCAACATCACTGCTTTGCCGTGTACGTAGAGGCATTCATACGCGCACATCATGCCCTCATTCTCTGGGAGTGCGCCCGCACAAGGAAGGGGGAGCAGCGTTTATCTTGAAATTTGACCCATTTCCGCGGCGCGTAGAGTTGCGAATTTTGGCAGACGTGATCGTGAATGCCTCATCTACGCATTTCACTTGTTACCTCAAAATTATCAAACCTGGTGAGTGGCCCTTTAAATTTCGTCGAGCATGCGCTGCAGCATGAGAACCGAGCCGTTGGATGACACTTTTAGCGTCGATCTGTGTGCGTTGGCCTGTACAGTGAACTCCCTTTAAGACGAACTCGAAGGGACCATGAAGAATTGTTCGTCTTATCAGAAGCACCCTCAAAAAAAGAATTGGCTACATACCTAGGTGCATGCAAATATCTTAGTTCAAAAACAAAGTATCAAGTACACTTACAGTGAAGGAAAAAGACACAAAAATAATTTATTTGAGGGAGTAACCTGATAGGCAACTGCGTTCAAGTGCTCTGGCTCGGCTTGATCCAGTCCATAATGGACGTCTGTTGCAGGTCGAATCGTTGCAGGTCACTTCGTCAACGGTAGCGGCCTCACCGGCAATAGATTGGAACACAAGTCCGTGTCTTTTTCTGAAGCGATCGAGCCATCCGTCGCTGCAGGCAAACTCCACGTTCATTCGTAGGGCAATTTCCTCCGCTTTTGCCTTCAGAACTACACCCGTTCACAGGCAGATTCATGCTACGAGCACGTTGAATCCATGCGAGCAGAACATCCTCTAAGCCCTTGTGCGCAGCCGTCCGCATCTTCTTTCGCTTCGGCGCGAAGTCTCCATCGCTCAACGCAGCGGTTACCCGCGCACTATCCTTCACGAGGCCCGTTAGCGTGCTCTTCGCAATCCCGAACTTGCGTGCAATCTCGATATTCGTGAGCTTGCCAGCTCTCACTTCGGACAAAATTTCTGCTTTCCTTGAAAGCTCGATTGGCTTTCGTTGCACAGCTGGCTTGCTGGCCATTTTCAACGAGGCAAGCGAAGCAAACAATGCGCATGGAATAGAAAACGTGAGATCGCAGGCTCGGCGCAGAGAAAGAACTCGTTTCCTCGGCAATGGCGGCGGCAGTGACGGCGAGGTCGGAGAGGGAGAACATCCACGTGGAGAGAGAGCTGCGGCTGTACGACGCGAGCTCACATGTTCCCGCTGAGAAATGGCATTGGTCATGAGAGCTGCTCTCTTCGCGAATAGGGAGTCTCGGTCGTCCTTTTGTTTTTTTACTTTTTCCCCTGCTTGCTTCTTCGCGGCCGATAGCCTATCTCAAAACTCTCTCGCTCTCTTATTTTCTTCTTGTTTGCTTTGCCGCTCGCTCTGCGGGTCGAAGTGCGTGTGATGCCGCGGGCCATTCTTTTGTCGCTGCCTCCCTCTCTCCGCCGTGGCGCGAATTCGTTTTGCGCCATTGCTGCTTTTGTATTTTCTTTCCCTCTGGCCGCGGGAATGCCCCCCCAAGATTGCCATAATTCCTCTGTAGAATCGCCTCGGTCTCCCGGTCTCCGCAAAAGTGTTCGTTTTAACAGAAGAGCAGGTGCAAGGCTGTTAGCCTTAAGCGGATTTTTTTTTCATTGCGTCTATGGAAAACCAAACAAACGTTCCGACGTTGTTCGGCATAAGCGAAAATTCGTCTTAAACGATTTCGTCTTTATACGCGCTATCCGCACAGCCTCGCTGCACAAGTTATGACACCTGCTGCACGCAAGTGGAAGAGGAAAGAGCGTATCGGCGACGCTCTATCGCGCTACGCTTGCGTGCTGCAGGAGTCTCGGCAGCGTATGTCCCTGCACGTGCAGCACAACTGTGCGGATAGCGCATTTACAGCTTTGAGTGATAAAAAAGGTACATCACACATTTGGCGAGCCAAAACAAGGACAGTTTCTCTTTGTGAAGAGCGAAGTTCTTGGATAAAGGCTCCGTAGTCTCGCTACTGAATTGAAGGCCAGCAGCAGTTCGAGAGCAAGTTTTGTAATGCCATCGTGCGAAATTTTCGTTGTTAATTTTCTTGACTTTTTTTTTTTTTCAGCGTAACGAACAAAGAAAAAAAAAAGACAGACCGCAACTGCACCACCATCCAACGCTACGTTTTGGTTAACGATCGACCGCTACGTTAGCAAGATGGCTGGTTTTAAACCGACAGTAGACTCTCAGTAAATGGAACCTGGAGGGACGAGGAAAATATGTTCCATTTAACAGGAGTTCCGTTTACTGAGAGATGAACATGGGTGCAGAATAGAAGCCCGAAACCAAGCATTGCAGAGGCAATAGTTTCGATTAACAGATTTCCGTTAACTGAGAATCTATTGTAATTTACGTCACCTTTTCTCAAAAAAAGGTTGGTTCACTACACTAGTAAACCCGGTATGCTATGTCTTCACACCTAACTTGGTCATGTCGATCTTGCTTTCACTTGTTCATTTTTGTTCATACTGCCCTATTTGCCGCAGGAATTCTGGCTAACAGCCGTTGGGGCAGTGAACCTGGTCACCCACCTGTGCAAGGCTAACGTTGATGTTGACGCCCGCCATGGTGACTGCTGAGACGGGGATCGTGACGGCAGTCTGGCTGGGCCCGAGCGCCGATGGTGCCGAAACCGTTTTGACCAGTGTGGCAACGGGCGTCTGCACCGCACCGGCCAAAGTTTGCTGCTGTTGTTGGGAGACTGCCACCACCTGCTGTGTCTGTTGGCCTGCCTGCTGCTGTTGCTGCGCTTGCTGCTGTTGAAGCTGCGCCTGTGCCAGGAGGTGGGCCGCTGCCATCTGCTACAGAACAAAAAAGCCAACAAAAAATTTAAAAAGAAAATGAAACAACTCTGGAGAAGCCACGAGTTCTTACAGTCACACAAGGTGAACAGTCACTCTGAATTCCCAAACAATGAAATTGTACTTCACAATGCATGTTCAGGAAGCCAAGACAACGTTGTCACAATAAACAGCAGCAGGATTATTATAAAAGTAAGATGCATCTAGGAAAAGAATTGAGGTACTGGTAATATAACAAAACTTAGCCATGAAATGTGGCTTCATGGCAGTATGAATTTCCCTAGATTAGACAATATTACAGCGGAATGGCTCCAAACTGCAATGCCACTGCCTTTCCAGGCAGTTTCTTTATTGACTGAGCCCTCTTGTAATGATATTCACTTTGTTATGAAGCTTCACAACTCGTACAATATTGCTGCAGTATTACCACCAGCAATGTTTCTTCATCCATGAAAGCCATGTCCTGTTGTATGTTCTAACACCTGCGTAATGGCCCTAGCGAGCCTTTTGGTTATTTGAATACGTAGATAGAAATACGCAAGCCCTCTACCGTTGACCCTGCCCCTTGCACTGCAGCTCACCCGTTGTGCACGCACCTGCTTCTGCTGGAGCTCCCGACGCTTGAGCAGCTGAGCCATCTCAGCCTCCGTGAGGTTGCGCGTTATGGCCGTCTGCTGCTTCGTGGTGCCCAGAGGCGTGGCCGCCTTTACGGCTGCCACAGCTGCCACCACCGCCTGTTGTTGTTGTTGAGCTTGCTGTTGTTGTGCTGTGGTGACCTGTTGCTGCTGCTGCTGCTGCTGCTGTTGCTGTGACAGGGGGCGCGCCTGCTGAACCGCGACTTTAGCCGCACCCGCTGCGAGGCTGACGGGCACTGCTACAGTGGCCTGAGCGGTGCCCCCGGCCGCGGCCAGCTGCTGCTGCTGCTGTTGGAGGCGCTTCAGCTGCTGTTGCTTGAGCTGCTGCTCCTGTGACGCACGTGGCGACACCCATGCAGTACGCACGCATCGCAGGAGGTCCCACGCCAGCAAAAACATTTCTGTCTGCTCAGTCCATCCAACTTTACACTTGCCTCACTGGCACACAAGTTTAAAAATTTTTCACTAATCTTTTGCTTTCATTAACTCTTAAATCTTTTGCATTCATTAACCCTTTAATAATACTCAGTAAACAGTCATTCTGTGCACTTCCCAACAAGCATGCCAAATTTCATTACTCTACTACAGAAATCTAGAAATTTCACTTCTGGTCCCGACCTCTTCCCTCAAGTTTTGCCCATCAATACCAATATGTGATTACGAGGCACACTATAGTGTATAATTACAGATTAATTTTCGTCACTTCAGTTTCTTGAGCTATTCAGTCAAAGGCAGGAAACGTGGCATTCACAGTAGCTGGTAGGCAAGTGCTTGACACACACTTAGAAGTCAACCCAACATCTTACAGAATTGAGAAATACTTTCAGCTACAGTTCAATGCACTGAAGATAAGCTTGTTTTTAAATTCCCTAACAACTGTGTCATTCGAACAGCAGTTTTACATTTTTTTGACGAGTTAGACAAAAGAAAATAAATAAATAAAGACCAGGGCCAGTGAAAAGCAAACAGGCACATAAAACAGACTTGATCCAGACGGGGTAGCACAAAGGATTACCTGCATCCTCTGCTGCTGCTGCTGTTGTTGGCGCAGGAAATTGCCTTGGCGCATGGCCTGCAGCTGAGAGGCAGTGAGACTGCGGGCCGGTTGAACGCTGGTCACCCCTTGAGCTGCCGCCACCTGGCTCACTGCACAGAACAAGAAAAGCAATGACCAAGACCTTGCAACCATCATAGTGTCTAAACAAATAATGCACACCTGGCTGTAACTGCCCGAGCACAACACTGGCAAAAATTAGGAAGGGAAACACACGTGTACTAGTGGTGTCAAGAGAAACGCTAGCGGCAACAAATATTACCAATGATATAGTTCTTGCTGACAGGTCATCAACAGTAAAAGGTAACTGAGCACAAGCTTACCACCGCTTATCATCCACAGACAAATGGATTGACCGAGCCTCTGAACCGAACGCTGACGCAGATGCTGTCTATGTATGTTTCACCAGATCACCGTGACAGGGACAGGACACTCCCCTTTGTCACCTTTGCGTACAACTCTTCACGGCACGACACAGCTAGGTATTCTCCGTTTTATTTGCTATTTGGCCGACACCCAGCGTTACCTATTGACACGCTCCTTCCTTCGGCTGCCCCCCTTGTCTACTGAGTACGCCAGCGATGTCATTTCTCGAGCCCATGCAGCCCGTCAGCTTGCTCATGATCGGCTGCACTTGTCGCAAGAGCACCAAAAAGACCGTTACGACAGTCGCCACCAAAGCATGCACTTCTCGCCGGGGTCTCTGGCACTTCTCTCGACACCAAACCGCCAAGTCGGCTTATCAGAGAAGCTACTACCACGCTATCATGGCCTTTATTGTAGACGCACGACCTATTTAAGGCATTCTCAAGACAGGTTCGTGCACAGGTTCGTTTAAGACAGTTAAGCGGGGCATAGCACGAACCTCTCTTGAGAATGCCTTAAATATGTTGTGCGTCCACAACATCTCTCCGAGCTTCAAAGCTCAAGTTTCCCGGCTTAAGGCTTTTGGGTTTCTCGGAGGCGTTTATCCTTTCCGCTGCTGAGACTCTCCTGCGGGTTAATAAGGCAGAGCAGAGGTAGCGACAGTATCCGAGCAACACGGATACAGAGCATGAAAGGATAGCCATGATTCCATACAAACACCAGATCGCACACAGGCTCAAGAAAATCGGAAAACGTGTTGGAGTTCGTGTCCTGTTCTCTGCACCGTTCAAATTTATCAGCCTCACCAAATCTACAAACCCCCTGAAAACGCAGTCATCAATGGAATGCAGAGTTCAGCATAGAAACAGGTATGCGGCATGCCCCCGGGAAGTTTTCTATAAGACCCGCCTTTCATGCGGTGCTTGTTATGTCGGAACAACCGGAAGGTGTCTGAACGATCGACTGAGAGAACACGCTAACAATGTTAGAAACGGGAAAGATGGTTTTCTTGCTCAGCACTGCACTGAGTGCAGCTGTGTGTTTTTTTCCAAGGACACAGCGACGCTGTACAAGCACAAGGATGAGCGCACCCGAGTCATCGTCGAGGCCGCGCAGATGGCACGCACAGGTGTCATGCATTAGCAAGCCCTCCGTGTCTTTGTCCCAGAAGGAACTAAGGTTCCTCGAAGGTTTTGGTGCACGCTAGTGGTTATATTACTTTCACTTTTCTGTTTTATTTCCTTATATACTTTTCTTTGCCTTTTTCTGTTCTTTTGTTTTGTTTTTTTTCCCCTCTTACTCGTGTTTTGCTCTTTGTGCCATATGGTTTTTGTCACATGGTTACTGTCTTCCCTATACCTTTTTGCACTCTGCGCAATAAACTCAGTTAAAAGTTATCACTCGTGTCCTTCGTCTCCTTCTTGTCTCTGTGTCGTCGTTTTGGTCAACATGTCATGATGCGACCATTCACCTATTCTTTTTCGTAAAACACAGAATTTAATAATAGACAGTGTGACGAAATTCTTCATGTGTTTTGCTTGGAAAGCATCACCATTGAAGCTTTCGACCCAAGTTTTCGAAGTAGGCGTTTCAGGCAAGAACTGTGCCAGCCGTGCAAGTTCGCGAATCGCTAGAGCAATCGGCACTCGCAGGTTCACACACATCGCGAATTCAACCAGACTGTCCTTCATTATTTCTTTAAATTCCCAGAAAGAATGGATAAATCGTGACACGCTGACGTCGCGAGAAGCATAAACATGCTGCCCGCACGTCACTGCTGTATTGCAGTGAAGCACCACTTGTCTTCCACAGGCGCACATTTTAGTTGATCCCGAGACCATTTTTTTTTTTTGTATAAAATTTATTTTTTCGTGCCGGAAATAGCGAGGCAGGGGTGCTTCACCTTACCATCATTGTCATTGCTAAAAAACATTGCCTAGTGGCTCTTAAGAGCCGTCATTTCCGCGTATCTGCGGCGAAATCGGTATAGGGAATTAGCACACTACACCCAACCCAAAGTTTTTGAATTAGCCGAACTTGTGCTGACCGACGCTTCAAGTTATCCACTCAAAAGTACATTGCAAGATACAGGACTGCGAAAAATACTTCGAAATTAAGTGGGATTTCAAAATGACCGAGTTCGAATTAACGAAGTTTCACTGCACATCTTGCCGAGAGTTGCGTGACAGTCCTGCAGAACTGTCTTACCAATTTTGCCCGTTTCAATTATAGCGTCCGAATGATTTGTCGGCAACAGTAAAAAATAGCACTATGATAAAGTCGGACATGCAGAACATGAGCTAGAACAGTTGCTTAACGGCCGTTACAGTGGAGATCCTCTGCGGAACGGGCTGCAACTGGGCAGAGCGAGGTTGGTGACTGAGACCACGGCGGGAGTGCTGCCACCCGCAGTTGTGATGGCACTGCTCAACCGGCAGCCCACGAACTTGGCCCGTAGCCACGGCCCCATTCCTGCACCGTCATGGTGGTGGTGGCTGTGACGACGTGGTTGGCTGCGGTCGCTGCGGTCGTAGAGCGGCTGTACTCAGATTGGCCACTGCCGTGACTGGTTTTGAAAAAAGAGCATTGTCACAGCATCCTTCCAGCTTGCCATGCCCATGTGCAATTTTGTCAAATTAGTAAAATTTCTCCCGAACGGGTGGCCTGGTTGGGTGGTCACGAATTTTTGCCTGGTTAAACTGGACAGGTGCGTGCTATCAGCGAGGCCCAGTTCAAAACCAAGCAAGCCTGTGATCTCGGAGGCCATGGCAGAAAATTGTACAATGGCCGTTGTTGCTGCTGTGGCTCTCGCTACTTTCGCTTTACTGCTACTAGTGTAGACAGCCACGCAATAAAGCCGGGCAACGCTATGTACTTCATTGTTGTGAAAGTGTCCAATTTGAGGCGGATAATTTGAAGTGCGCTAATAAGATGCAGGCCACTGAAACAAGATTTAATTTCAAAATTAGCCTTTCCTTGGCACAAAAGCAACGCTATGAGGTTTGTGGACAGCTATTTCACCAAGCAAGTTCGACTTGATATGCCTTTAGTGTCCCTTTAATTGAGATCAGTCCTTCCACTGGTATTTCAATCGTTGCAACTGGACAGAATGTGCCTCCGATTCTGACAAGGCCATGGTACTCTGGCCAGTTGTGACCTTGCATGAGCCTCACAAGGTGACTACCCATTCCCCCGTCCCCAATATTTCAGGAAAGTCAACTTACTGGAACCTTGGTGAGCGCAAACGTTGGCGCAGCACTGACGACACCTCCTGAGGCGCCGTCGTGGCTGTGACAGCGGTGCTGACCAGAATTCCGCCGGATTTGGCCAATGCCACAGTGGTGACATTCTGAAACAGAGCAAGAGGGAACACCGCATTTACTCGAATGCAACGCGCATTTTTATCTAGAGTTTTGCTACCTGATTTCAACCCTCTCATTACAATCAAATACCTAAATTCGAGTCGTCTGAAAGAGTGCAGTAATGCACATATTTCCTTCATTTTAGTTTCATTTCTTCCTTCCTGGAAGTCACTTCTCGCATTACAGTCATGCTCACTTTACAATAGAGTATATATAGTATGTATAAGCACTGCATATTAATTTTTTTATATGCAGTTAATATTACAGTATCTACTTAGCTGCTAATGAAAAAATATTTGCGCATTTCGAGTATTCAAATGAATATCAGAGTATTTTGGTGCACATCGACACTAGTTTAATTAATTATAAATAAACAAATAGACATACAGTGAAACCTCATTATTTCAAAGTCACTGGGGCCACAAGAAATTTTCAAATTAAGCAGGTTTTCGAATTAACAGAACGTACAAAAAGTGGAATGCAAGGAACTTGGAACTATTCAAAGTAACTAGTGCTCGTCGTTTGCTGTGCCAGCTAGCTTGCGACTTCAAGGGCTATGTTTTCCAGCAATACCTGTTCTCAATTTTACCGCGAACATAGAGGAACAGTGGGCTCCGCTACGGCCACCAGGAAAAAAAAAAAAAACGCTGTCGTGATCGCCTGAAACATGCGCCTGCAGAAAAGAATACATCTTCACTGAAACACAGTAGTGACACGCGGGCAGCATGTCGCTTGCTCTCGCTGCATCAGCACGTCATGATGCGACTTTTCGCACATTATTAGTGTTCTACCTAGGAATTTAATAATGGTCAGTATGACGAAGCTCGTGATGTGTTTTGGCTGGAAAAAATATTTGAAACTTTTGAATGTTGCTGGCAAGAACTTTGCCAGCAATGCCGAGATGCGATTTGCTAAAGCAACCGGCAATCGGAGGTTCGTATACATCGCGATTTCCGCAAAACTGTCCCTTATTAATTTTTTTACACCACCAGAAAGAATAGGTAAACCATGACCCGCTTACGTTGCGAGAAACATGCAACAAACTGCCTACGTGTCATCGCTGTATTGCAGTGAAGCACGTCCCGTTTTCCGCAAGCGCATGTTATGATTGACAAAGCGGCCGTTTCTCTTTTTTTTCTTTTTTTTGCGCTAAAGTAGCGAGGCTGAGATGCTTCAGCTGCCACTTATTAGTATCGATATGTTACATTGCCTTGTGGCTATTAAGGGCCATCGTTTCCACGGATTTGCGGCGAAATCGGGATCTGGAACTGTTACATGACACCCAAAGTTTTCGAATTAACTGGGCTGGTGCCGGCCGCCGCTTCAAATTATCCCCTCAAAGTTATATTGCAAAATACGAGACCACGGAAATCCCTCGAATTAAGCGGAATTTCGAAATGACCGAGTTTAAATTAACGAGGTTTTACTGTATATTGGACCACACGTAACACCCCAAAAAAAAAAAATGGTTTCACTGCAGCAGGAAGCTGTTATGCCGTGAAACCACCTTTAAAAAAAAAAATGTTGACATTGCAGTGAAGCTATACGTCAAGGTTGAAGTGTACATATTACCTGTACATTGATTATTCAAAGTTTGCAAGCATGTTAAGAGGGCTTATACGTGCTAACCATAACAAATTTTAAAGCTTGACATTTTACAGCTTATAACTTGGGTCCTAATGCTACTAATAATAAATACGATTTAACGGATTCCGCTACGGAGTTACTAAATAAAGCTGGTCTACTAACATTACAACGTCGGGCAAAAATAGCAAGATTCAAATTTTTCTTTCAATGAATTCATGGAGACATAAACATCAACAGGTCAAAACTAATAATCTCTTTCAGTAGTTCAAGACTGACATGTTACAGGCACTCGCAAACACTTAATGAATACACTAACTCTAATTGCTTTAAATATTCATTTTTCTCACAAACCATAAGAGAGTGGGGCCGATTGAGTGCTACTGCTACTAACGCCTCATTTTTACTTGTGTTCTAATAGATGATAGAAGCGAATGTACATGCTGTGCAGTTTCTGTGAACATAATTATTGTTTGTTATTTCCTGTCTTTCTGTATTATGCACCCTTGTATTGTGTATGCACTTGTATCATGTATGCTCTCCCTGCAATGGCCTCCTTGCGGGATCGGCAGTAATGCTAAATAAAATAAATATATATTGTCCCTATTTTAATTTGTTGCCACTTCACTTCAAACTAAAACATTACACTCGCACAGGCTTAGTTCCAATTCGTAAATATATTGTGCAAGTTAGTTGGGTCATGACAGAAAATGCTGATTTTTATTTGTGTGATACAAACTATTCGAACTATTAAAAATTATGTCAAGCCCTTCTCACTACGTAAACAGCAGTAGACACTCCATCTAGCGACCACCTCTGTCGAATCATATTTTAAACAATATTTGAGGCTCAATTCCATGTTCAAAATGAGTTATTGCAGCTATAAACCTTGGCAGGCAACAAAACCAGCAAGATATTGTTTAACTGCCCAAAGAAGACAAGAAATAACCAGGAACACAGACGCACAT